ACCGGAAACACATATTTATTGAAGTTATAAAGGAAAATAATTGTTTATGTGTCGCCACAACAAGAGGGAACTGTATTAAAGGGTCGTCACAACAAGAAGGAGCTGTATTAAAGGGTCGCCACAACATGAGGAAACTGTATTAAAGGATTGCCACAACAAGAGGGAACTGTATTAAAGGGTCGCCACAAAAAGAGGGAACTGTATTAAAGGGTCGCCACAACAAGAGGGAACTGTATTAAAGGGTCGTCACAACAAGAAGGAACTGTATTAAAGGGTCGTCACAACATGAGGAACTGTATTAAAGGGTCGCCACAAAAAGAGGGAACTGTATTAAATAGTCGCCACAACAAGAGGGAACTGTATTAAAGGGTCGCCACAACAAGAGGGAACTGTATTAAAGGGTCGCCACAACAAGAGGGAACTGTATTAAATAGTCGCCACAACAAGAGGGAACTGTATTAAATAGTCGCCACAACAAGAGGGAACTGTATTAAAGGGTCGCCACAACAAGAGGGAACTGTATTAAATAGTCGCCACAAGAGGGAACTGTATTAAAGGGTCGCCACAACAAGAGGGAACTGTATTAAATAGTCGCCACAACAAGAGGGAACTGTTTTGAATAGTCGCCACAACATGATGAACTGTATTAAAGGGTCGCCACAACAAGAGGGAACTGTATTAAAGGGTCGCCACAACAAGAGGGAACTGTATTAAAGGTCGCCACAATAAGAGGGAACTGTGTTAAAGGGTCGCCACAACAAGAGGGAACTGTGTTAAAGGGTCGCCACAACAAGAGGGAACTGTATTAAAGGTCGCCACAACAAGAGGGAACTGTATTAAAGGGTCGCCACAACAAGAGGGAACTGTATTAAAGGTCGCCACAATAAGAGGGAACTGTGTTAAAGGGTCGCCACAACAAGAGGGAACTGTGTTAAAGGGTCGCCACAACAAGAGGGAACTGTATTAAAGGTCGCCACAACAAGAGGGAACTGTATTAAAGGGTCGCCACAACAAGAGGGAACTGTATTAAAGGGTCGCCACAACAAGAGGGAACTGTATTAAAGGTCGCCACAACAAGAGGGAACTGTATTAAAGGGTCGCCACAACAAGAGGGAACTGTATTAAAGGGTCGCCACAACAAGAGGGAACTGTATTAAAGGGTCGCCACAACAAGAGGGAACTGTATTAAATAGTCGCCACAACAAGAGGGAACTGTATTAAAGGGTCGCCACAACAAGAGGGAACTGTATTAAATAGTCGCCACAACAAGAGGAAACTGTATTAAAGGGTCGCGGCATTAGGAAGGTTGAGAGTCACTGTTTTAGAACTTCCCGTGTAAGTTCAGGGGCCCTATTTAGCGGGGGGGGGGGGGGGGGGAGCATTGAATTTTTTTAACTTGAATTTCATAAATAGCGACTTATTAGCTATTTTTCCTTTGTTGTCATGGCGCATCTGACTGAAAGGCAAACCAACAGAATGCATATACGTAAGCCAGATTTGTAAAATGGATGTGCACGAGAAATTCGAAGTTCTGTAACAAGACTACAGTCGAGAAGTAAAAGAACAACCAAAACCTTCCCTGTTTTGTTTTTTGTTTTTGTTATTTCCTATATAGATTTACCTGTTCTTTTCTTGCCTTTCCTGATCTTGGTCTCCACCGCTGCCCTATATGTGGAAATAGGGGTCTAATTAAAATCCTATATTAAATATCCCGTCTTCTACTTCGTCTTTGATTCAACCACTGCCGTATCTTTAGTCATCGCCCCTAAGTGCACCCGGGCCATCCCCTGTATTTCTAACAGCAGTGTTTAACAATTTGGCAGACAGGCAAATGTATGTATTACTTCAGGCACATATAGATATGTGTTTTCAAGGAGAATAACAGCAAAATATAATTTGTGTAATAACTTTTTCAAGGGAAGTAATAGAAAACAGTTAAATGAAGGGATATAACTTCAACGAATGTTTACTGTATTTGATTGTCGTAATACATAAAGAAAGACACAGTAACATGAACCGTCAGTATAACTGTTAAATTAAACATTGTAGTCATAATAGCAAATGAAAATATAACCTTTTTAATGGTCGCGGTTTGGGAAGAGTTACCAATTCATTTATGATAAACACTCGAAATGTAGAAAGGGTTAGTAATTTATGGTATAGATGTCTGTGTTGTGACATTATCTTCCCTCACCGTTTGCAATACATAGTGTTTTATTATTTGAAGCCCTACTCTGGCTCCTGCCAGGGGCCGCAATATAGCCCGGCCATAAATATGGTCAAATGGGTAAACACGATTTCTGGAACCTCTCCAGGGGCGATCCTCATCGTCATGGTGGCACCTTGTGTCATCGGGTGTTTATCGCTTGTGCGATGTCCTAGTGGGGTGGAAAAAAAAAGATAGATAGGCTGTGTTGTTTGTATGGTGTATTACATGTGACAGTCCACTTGCATTGCACATGTGGAGTGGTATTGTGTGGCGCTTGGGTTGTGCTATTTGTGGTGATTTTTTTTACAGCCCCAC